CATGCTGGGAATAAACCTCTGCGGCAAGCAAAACATATACATTCTGACAATGAATGCGATATTTAAGCGAAAGACTTTCTAACACGCAATCTTAAACAAATGAATTAATAAGAGTCATTCAGCCCAACCAATCTTCAATTACTAGAAATTGTTGTAGTTATTGCCGTTACCTTGTGATCATCATCATCATCATCCTTGTCATCATCATCATCCTTGTCATCGTCGTCGTCGTCGTCGTCGTCGTCGTCATTCCTGCTCATGCTGGGAATAAACCTCTGCGGCAAGCAAAACATATACATTCTGACAATGAATGCGATATTTAAGCAAAAGACTTTCTAACACGCAATCTTAAACAAATGAATTAATAAGAGTCATTCAGCCCAACCAATCTTCAATTACTAGAAATTTTTGTAGTTATTGCCACTACCTTGTCATCATCATCATCATCATCCTTGTCATCATCATCATCCTTGTCATCGTCGTCGTCGTCGTCGTCGTCATTCCTGTCCATGCTGGGGAAAAACCTCGCATGCGTTTCAGACTTATAGTTTGGGTGTAAATTCTCTATTTTCATCTTTCTGTCTTCCACAAGAGGGCGAGCATTCACCAGGGCCGCAAGAAGAACAAAGAGAAGCGCAAAGATAAGCCTCATCTTTGAGTTGATGATTCCCGTCTAAAAAGGTGTTTCACCTGGAATATGTAGCAGAGAAATGAGTAAGTCTGCGGCTTTGTTGGCTTTTTTTATCTGTTTAGTGATAGCTGGTGCTGACTGACATGGGAACAAATACACATGATTGAAGCTAGATTTTAAGCAAACTGCTCACATCAAATCAATTTGAAGTTTAAGAGACTATTGTAACAGCTTGTGATAACATTCAAACTTATTTTCACAGTTCAGTTTGCATTCTTTTCGCAACCACTACAGACGAAGACTGATTAGCATCGAGGTTGGAAACGGATGACTCAGCCTATTCACAGTTAAATATCATTGAATTCGGCTTTCGTATCATATGAAGAATTCTGGAGATCTCGGAGCTCGATCTCCATAATTCTTCATAAGATACTCAGCCTCATTCATTAATTAATTGTTAATTAATGTGCCAACTGGTCATCAGCGGGACAGAGAAATGTCAGAAAACAGCATTTCTGTTTGCAAAACTTTGTTGCTTTCATTAACATTAATATAATATCACTTAACTGTTAACTTTTCATTTACCAGTTAACTACTAATTTTTTGGCCAATTATCAGTTAACTGTTAATCCCATTCGCTTTCTCTAATAATAGAGAGGAGAAGTATGACGTCACGTCACCATGGTGGCACTATTTCTGGATGACAACAAAACCAACGACGACGGCGACGGAAGGAGAACGGCAAAAAAGTAATAGGTTTTTATTGACAAAACAACAAATTTACACGTGCATCACGCTATTTTGTACATTTCTTTGCCATCGTAGCACCCCTGCGACATGCAACTTCCTAATTTCACACGCTTGCTTTATGGAGTAGGTGAACACAACCCAAAAGTTGTCTTTTTCCTCTCCCAAACTTAGATACGGTCCTTTCGGATTCAACGCGAGGAAATTTCGCCAATATTTGCCAAATTGAATAAAAATTGAAAAAGATCGATGAAGTTTGAAGCGGTGCAAATTCACTTTATAAGTGACGTTTTCGGTTTCTTGTCATCCAAAAATTTTGCCACCATGACAACGAGACGAAACGTACTCTTTCGTGCTAGAAGTGAAATTTTGTACTAGTTGATTTCGTGTTTGTCGCGAGTTTTGCCATCAAAATAAAAAACTAAAAAAAAAACAGACAAACATTTCAATTTAGTGACACTGACGTCAATTGTGCTCTGTGCTGTTTACTGCGATTCGAGATGCCCCTAACCTATGTACCTTAAGGCATTCTGTATAGTTTTACTTTTAGCAGTTGTATTTTGAAGGCGTATTTCAAGCAGACTTAGGGTAGCAAATTCTAAGTTGAGAAAAAATTTGTGATCTAAAACTTCCTAATAGAAAGCAGTGTTGTGTGAAGAAATATCGGATAAATTTAGGTTTCTGGGAAACTACCCACCTACCCCTCCCCTAAGCTAACATTAACACTTACTTCCCACTTTGGGCAAAATGATGGCTTAAGAGAGGGGTAGTTGGGCTTCCGAAATATCAAACACGCTCCGCGAGAACAAAATTGTACAATTACGGACACAAAATATCAAAACGGTTTACACAAGCAGATTATAGCAGCACCAAAGCTCACACACATTCGATCAAATTAGCGATATACAGCGATATTTGCTAGCTTGTTAGCTTTTCCTCGACCTCGCTAGCGCTCCCTTGCTAATTTGCACAAGCGACCCGAGGGTCTTGCCCGTTACTATGTGACGTCATACTAGCAGGCGAAGTGGGTCAAGAAACTTAGGCGGAAAACAATAGAGTTACCTCCCCGCCCCCCGCTGGTACCTCTTAATGACAATCGGAAAGGCAACTTTGGCACCCTCAGAGAATCCGACTTTAAAATGTCCGGGTGACACTCAACCGTTGCGTGTGTGCCGATGTAATAATTACAAATTTATATTACTACTGGCAGTTTTAGATGCATTTATAGCCATTTGAGAGGACTTAAATTTGAAATTTTCACGGGGGAGCATGCCCTCGGACCCCCCTAGTTTGCTCACGCTTACGTGTTCGCATTAGCACCCCCCCAACTTGAAAATCCGCTCCGGTGGCCCCGCATTAACAATAGTGTTGTATTGTTGCACGATGACCCTTTAATTCTTTTTCGTTGTCAGCTATGAAGAGAAATCGGTTAAAACTAGAGACGATACCGGGTATCTATCGACCTGAAAAAAACCAGTTTTATGTTTGAATAAGAAGACGATGAAAGAACCTTTCTCTCACAGAACATGTAAACAGTGCTCACCAATAACATGCGCTCATGCATGAAGTGTTTCGATTTCCCTAGCAGGGGGTTAGCTACCCGCACCAATCATAAAATTGCAGCAACAAAAATACAAACAAGGTAAAAACAGAAGCAAAAAACGGTGAAAGTTACACATTTCCTGTAGAACTAGAAATACGTATAACTCCAACTCAACTCTAACTCAACTCAAGCTCTTAACTATAGAAACAGCCGATCCCTCTTTTTCAACGACAACCCATCTCGCCAGCAGTTCTTCAAGTTTAGGAAAACATCCTTTGTAAGAAACTACTCACAGTCGTAAACTCTTCATCGACTCTTTACAACAAGCTTATAAAAACTATCGCCAAGAAAGACTGAGAACGTAAAGCTGAAACTAAAGGAAACCACTTACTTTGCACAGCTTGTCACAAGGTGCGGGAGGCCTAGTCGAAGTGCTCCGGTTAGAACCGAACAACTAGTGTGCAATCAGGAATGTGGTTATGTGATAAAAATAGGCTTCCAGCGTGAGAAAACCCTTAAGGCGAGGAAGTATGCAAAGGTTCTGCTCCACGCATGAACAGTAATGTCAGCATGTCAGTGGACTGTTGATGTGATTAAAGGTGCATATTCTGAGGTTTATTCCGCATATTTTGTCGCACTGCACTGGTGGTAATAAAAAACCTTCTTCGAATCATAGTTAATAGAGGAGACTGGTTATGAAAGCCGGCAAACTGTAAAGTTAAAAACAACGGTGCTGTAGTTTATGTTGGAAACTCCCTGACCGTGGACAATCCTCTGTTTTTTGTTCACAAACTGTGACTGAATAAATTAATGAGATGTTTCTATTGGTCAGCAAGTTCAAAATGGTAGGAATACTATTGAACGTTGTGCACGGTCAAGTCCAAAAAAGCTAACAAAAACATATAACAAAGAAGTCTGTCCGGCTTCATAACCATTCCACTTTAATAACTGTGTTCAAATGATTTTTTTTTAATGAATATCAAGCACAAGGATCTGATCCAAGTACTGTTACCCTTCGTTGCCCAGTGAGCAGATAGCGCGACAAGGCAAGGCATATGCTTGATCATTGCATTATCACAACAATTGTGATTACGATCCAGAAATAGAAAAGCAATATATATACATCCAAATGCATTCAATTTAACATAAAAGCGAGCTTAAGGGAAAGCACTAGAAACATCGACTTAAGCCAGATGAGTCATCCATATGGGGTGTCTAGAAAACGACGACCTAGAAAACGAAGACCTACGACCTAGAAAACGACGACCTAGAAAACAACGACCTAGAAAACGACGACCTAGAAAGCGACGACCTAGAAAACGACGACCTAGAAAACGAAGACCTACGACCTAGAAAACGACGACCTAGAAAACAACGACCTAGAAAACGACGACCTAGAAAGCGACGACCTAGAAAACGACGACCTAGAAAGCGACGACCTAGAAAACGACGACCTAGAAAGCGACGACCTAGAAAACGACGACCTAGAAAACAACGACCTAGAAAACAACGACCTAGAAAACGGTGACCTAGAAAACAACGACCTAGAAAACAACGACCTAGAAAACGACGACCTAGAAAGCGACGACCTAGAAAACGACGACCTAGAAAACAACGACCTAGAAAACGGTGACCTAGAAAACGACGACCTAAAAAAAAACCGCGGGGAGGGGGCGGGGGGGACTTAATAGAAGTGTGCGAAATGCCCCATCCCCGGACAAAACCAAAATAGCGTATTCATAGCAAACCTCAGTGTAATCTTATCAAACGTGCCAAACACCCACGCAAATCGCTCATAGCCGCTAGTTACCCGGGGCTGGTTATAAGTAATGCTAAGGTCAATAGGTGTAATAATGTGCACGTGCAGCACACTTTTTTGCACATCGTAGTACGTGCAGACGATTCTCTCAGAACCAAAATTTGGGCGTTTTCCATTCACCCAAAACTTAAGAAGCTTTGGAAACAGCGGCAATTGGTACAGTATTTTCCCGGAAAATTTCCCAGACTTCCGGAAACGTTTCCGAAATGCGAACCTTTCAACCAGAAACATTCGGGAGCAAATTTGAATGCGGAAAGAAAACTTCCCGATGATAATTTTCGAAAATTTGGGTATATATTGCGAAAATGCTGTTCCATTCGGTACTGCATGGAAGTTGCCGAAAATTTAAACCAGACGTTTTGATTGAATGGAATGGCGCCCATGCAAAGGTAACCAAATTTGTTGCCAATTGTGCTCCCTTTGCGCGCGCGCGTGAGAGCTCCACTAAAAAAGTTTCTCTAGTCAAATTTTCCTTTAGTATGGTCAATGAAGTCATGATTCAACCTGAGTGACTACTGGAAGCAAAAGCTTTGCTTTGACCTATTTATTATCCTGATATCAATTTAAACAAATTTCGATCAAATCTAAATGACCTAAATAATATATACTGCTTCACTGGCGCGTCGTTTATAGCGAGAAGTTCAAGCCCACATAAATCAAACAGGAAATAAATCAGGCGTGCCGTTTTTGTATTCACAGTTCAACACCGTAAACAAACAGTTTATATTTTGAAAATAAAGAAAGAATGGCTTCAACATTTTCTCGTACCTT